CAAGCTTGGTAAATTAGAGGTTCAACAAAAAAGCGGAAGGCCTTCAACAAGAGGGACTGACACAGTGGCTGCAAGAGCGGGGTCAGGTATAGCGAGGACTGTGGGGCTGGTGCAGGCCCGGGTAGTGTTTTGTCCTGTTGTGCACAGGGTCGCGATGAGTCGGCGCTCCAGTGCCTAACCACCACCATCTAGTTAACAGTTCTGTTAAATTCTGTTCAGACAGCCAGCGTGCCCTGTGCTGACTGGGCTAGGTCCAAAGCGGGGTGTGGCAGGAGCTGGGGCAGCCGTTGGCCTTGCTGGGCTTGTGGATACGCCCGTCTCTGTTGCCTGCCCTCCTCTTCTCTGGTGAGTGTCTCTGTTCTTTACGACTCAGAGGGGATCAGGGTTAGGACGCAGCCTGCTCTGGTATGACTTTGTTAACAAGAAAACCCCATTTCCAAACAGGGTCCAATTCCTGGCAGCTCTGGATCAGTCCAGGGCTAAAGGGTGACAGTGCCCACACTGTGGTGACCAGCCAATGTCAATCACTGGGAAGACGGGGACTCATAGGCAGTGCAGCCCCACCCAGGGCCCTTCTCTGGGGTGCGTGGTTCAGCCTCCTTAGGTTGGGCTTTGTAGGGTCAGTGAGATCCCTGTGGAGTATGGATGTAAGCGTGGGGGCTGCCCAGAAGCAAGCCGGGGACCCCCCGGGTACTCCAGGTCCATGTGGGGGGAAGGTAGGGCTCTGCAGTCAGGAGGGTTGAAATCTTGGGGTCCCCAGGACAAGCCCAAAGGTGGGGGCCCGAGGGAGCCTGGTCTGGGAGCTGCTTCTCTCAGGAGCTCCTGCAGTCCCCTCACCACCTGCCTCAGGCTGAGTTCAGAAGTGGGCAGCACCAGCATATCCTGAGGGCACCCCAGTCGCTGACCTGCGGGCCCGGGTGGGGCCGCTCTCCCGTAAATCTGATGTAGCCATCCCTAGAACCTTGCCGGCCACTGGCTCGAGGCCCCAGCCTGGTGTTGAGGCTTCCCTAGGTCTTGTCACAGCACAGGGGGCTGTAGGGTGTGTGCTGCTGAAGCCCATGCGAGGGCCCCTCCTGGCTGCAGGCACCTCTGCCCCTACCTGGGGCTCTAACACTTCCCCCCATTTGAGTCGATTTTAAAACAAAACCCCCAAGAGCGTCCCCAGCAGAACTCCTTCTAGACGCTTTATTGCTAGAATCAGGTCAGAAGTCCCGGGGGTTCTGAAATCCCGCCGTGAGGAAATGGCCACCCTCATCATGTCACACTCGTCAGTGGACGAAGGTCACGGTCACGATGAACAAAGATGTGCACGGATTCCACAAATGCTACCGCTTGCTCAACCACTGACTTCACACATACACGTGGACTCGACGATGGATGGGGGGCTGGCGGGAGAAGGTGCACGAACCCAGGCCACTGCGGGCGGTGCGGGCCCCACCTCCAGGCCACGGAGCCTGAGCTCCGAGTGCCACGGAATGTTCTCTTCACAACACAACAGGCATGGAAAGTCAAGTCTAAAGTGCTCTGACACGCTGCGGTACAAAACCAAAAACGACGACGGGGAAACAGGGCCGGGAGAGGTCCACAGTGGGCGCCTGTCGTGGCGCAGCGTCACTGGGGGGGAGGGTTGGGCTTCCCTCCCTCGGGAAGGGCAGGCTTGTTTCTTCCGCTCCCTGCTGGGGCCACCGCCCTGGACATGGCGAGCCACGTGGGCGGGCAGGAGCCGGGGAGAGGTTCTCGGAGGGCCAGGAGGAACCTGGGGACAGGTCAGGGGGATGCCACCCATGTGCTGTGCTCGTGTTGGGAATGGTTCCTTTCAGTTCCTTGTCCAAGACAAGGTGGGATGCTGGCTGGAGGCTGCACCATGGCTCTACATGACTGCTGGCCTGGCTGGTCCCCTCCTGGGTTGGGGCTGACAGAGGACTGGGCTCTCAGGGAAAGTGGTTCTCTGATGAGGTCTCCTGTTGTGCGATGTCCCCGGTCAACACAGTGCCTCCCAGAGACCACTCAGTATAGCCACCCACACTGCGGAGTTTAGAGGGACCTGGCCCCAGGCCTTGGGCAAGCCTCAGGAGGGGCTCTGTTCCAGGCTCAGAGGAGACATGGGGTCCAGAGAAAGGCTGGAGAAGTGCCCCTATCAGGCTTCATCCTTGGCCAGACCTGGTACATGGGCCTGGCCAAGGGGGACATGGGTCCCCCCAGCCCTGACCGTGGGCAGCTTCCTCATCTCCGCAAGGCGGCACCTGCTGAGTAGAGCTGCTGCAAGCTCTGGGTTCCCTCGGCTCGCCACACACACGTCCAGGGTGGGACAGCTCCTTGCTGTCCGGCCCAGGGCCGTCAGAGCTCCAGCCCTGGGTGACAGCCTCAGCTGACAGACCCACGTTCCCAGGCCAGCGTCCTGACACGTGGGGCGCAGAGGTGTCTGGGCAAAGTACTGCCCCCCACTTCCGGATCAGAAGCTCAGTCAGTGTGGTTCAGGACCTGCTTCCGACTCACCGCCGAGTGGTGGCTGTGCCCGTGGGTGTGCCGGACAACAGGGGACGCCCTGCCCTGACAGGGCTCAGCAGGGCCGGGAGAGGACCTGACCTTGAGGTACATGATGGACCCACAACGTGAGGTCTCTGCTTTGAACTCCATCCTGCCGGGCCTGCAGACAGACACGGTCACCCCCTCCACATCCTTTTGAACATGTTTGGCCCCCACTCGGCCCCTCCTCCTCAGACTCAGGTGGGTCTGGCTGGCCCCCCTCCTCCTACGGGCAGTGCCCCACCCACACGGGCTACTGTGCTTTCCTATAGCTTCCTGGCTGAGCTCTGGTCCAGCCTTCAATGAGACACTTTTCTTTTGAGAAGAAAAAAATGTGCAGAAAGGTCCCCAGGCACCGCTGCTAACCCTACAGAAAAAGCCGGCATGTCAGACGGCTGAGCACCAACAGGCCGGCCGTGGACACCGGCAGCGGTGTGCTGGGAGGGGGTGGGAGAGCAGGCGGCCATAGGGACCCCGCAGGGCAGAAGGGAAGGGTCTGCAGGGTCGGCTCCGGCGTCCTCGAGCCACGCCCTTCTAGAAGAAGATGACATCTTCCTTGCTGGCTTCCTCCTCAGCTGGGAGTGGGGTGGCCAGCGGCAGCAGGGGGGACGGTGGCAGGAAGGGGGTGCCCCCACCCAGCCTTGGGGAGACTCTCTCGGGTGGGCTGTCGGCAGGAGCTGGGCTCGGGGGGCAGGGCTCTGGAAGAAAGGGGAAGGGGCTGGGCCATCAGCAATCCCAGTGCGGGTGGGGGAGAAGGTGGTGGTCGTGGAGGGGTGGGCTCACCTAGGGGTGGTGTGGCACTCTGGCTGGCGGGCAGGACGGGGCTCAGCGGGCGGCGGGTACGTGAGGCAGAGTTGTCGTCCTTCCCCTTGAACTTGCCGAGAAGCAACTGCTGCTTCAGGTCGAAGGAGGCTGAAAAAGGGGGGCAGAGGCTGAAAGGGGGAGCAGTCTGTGGAACTTGTTCCACTCCAGACACCAGACGGCCAACCTCAGGGAGGGCAGACTCCAGAGCAGTGAGGGACCCCAGGGGAAAGAGGGGCCTCCCCTTCTCCTCAACACTGTCCTTGAATAATCTGGTGAGGAAGGACCCTAGAACTTGTCCTGTATCTACGGCCTGCTCAGACCTGAACCAAGCTCAGCAGGGCTGACTAGGAAGAGCGCCCACCTGAGGCCAGAAGGGGCCTGGGTGACTCAACACCTGACAGGGAGGGCAAGACAGCCTCAGCCTGTTGGCTCCAGCCAACACCCTCTGCAAGGTCGCTGAGGGTCTCAGAACCGTCCTCTCTAGGGAGGGCCGCTCAGAGGCGCAGGGTTGGCCTTGGGCCAAAGCCCCCTTGCTGGGGCCCATCCACGCTGTGCCAAGGGGCCCTGGGGCTCTGGCTCCACCACCTGCAGGACACTCTCTGAGGGACTTGCTGCGACTGGGCCCCAATGTCCTACTCCGGGACATGAGGCCACCAGAGGTACGCCAGCACACTGGGGGTCATGAGGCCCACGGGCAGACTACTGAGTTTGCTGCCTTGGCTTCCGTTAATTCCTCCTAGTTGCCCTTTCAAAGGAGCCCTGGTAGCACAGTGGTTAAGCACTTGGCTGCTAACTGAAAGGCTGGTGGTTCAAACCCACCAGCCACTCTATGGGAGAAAGATGAGGCAGCTGGCTTCCGTAAAGACGACAGCCCTGGAAACCCCGTGGGGCAGTTGTATTCTGCCCTCTAGGGCTGCTGGGCATCGGAATAGACTCGACAGCAGCGGGTGTGGTTTGGGCTTCGCTTCTGTGAAGACTGTCAGCCTTGGAAACCCTGTGGTGCAGTTCTATTCTGTCCTATAGGGGTGCTGTGAGTGGGTTAGTTGTCCTTTCACCCAGGTTCGGATTCACATGGTCCTGACTTACACACAGCCTCTTGACATGTGGCCTCTAAGTGACCTTCTTGGCCATGACCCATACAGTGTCCCGTGATTAAAAAACCAACCAAAATGTCTCTTTTCCTGTGCACATGCCCTAGAAACCTTTAAACTGGCCACTAAACCTGTCAGCCCATGAACCCTAGCTGAGCCTGCCCTGCTCGCCGTACAGGAGCCCTCTGCTACAGTTCTGGTTTGCTGGTACCTTGTCCCGGGTGCAAGCCCACGGCCCTGCATCCTGAGACCTGTGAGCACTACATCCTGTATTTTCTGGCCTTTCTGTGCGAGTCCCCCTTCTTCGTGTGCACGTGACAGAACCACTGATGCATGACATCCACAGACCCCTTTTGGATCAAAATGAACACTGGGTGGAGCCCACCACACTTGGACTAGCACAGGATGGGAGCGGAGTGCTCGAGTGCCAGCACCAGCTACAATGGCATCAGTACCCCACCGGGCTCACGCTGACTTTTCAAAACCAAGCCCAAAATATCAAGACTGAGCCCTTCATCTATCAGGTCCAATGGGCCCAGGGCTGGGGCGGCAGATGGCCTCAGGCTGCCCAGGCCGCACCATCCCTAAGTGCCGAGGACGGTCTGACCTCTTGCCCCTGACCACCTCCTGGGGTCTGTGGCCTCTAGCAGGGTTTTGGTAGAGGGTCCCACAGACCCTTCTCTCTGAACTGTCAAGACGTCCCTTGCCCTGACCTCAGTCTGAGAGTCAAGGCACGAAAAGGGCCTGGGGTCGTCACTGTGATTCTGCGTCTAGACATACGACTTCCGTGTAGAGGGGACCTCACGGTGCTACCACATTCATGCCATCTGCTTTCTTTTCCAGAGGACACTGGTGTCCTTTCTTTTTATTCATGAGGAGCCCAGATTAAGGACAAGAAAAAGTCTACCATCTCATGGCCAGAGCCCCAGTTCAAGGAGGGAGGGAGGGGCCGGCAGCCTGGCACTGAGCCCGGGCTTCTGGCCCTGAGGCGGTGAGCAGGGCCTGCGGCGCCCGGCGGGCGCTGGGCTCACCTGTGCTGTCCCAGCGCTGTGAGCCCCTGCTCTTGCCCGCCTTGTCCTTGCTGCCCTTGGTGAAGGCAGCCAGCTTGGTGGGGATCTGCTGCTGCACGGCCGCCTGCCGCTGGGTCTGGTTGGTGGTGCTCAGCAGTTGGATGGGCACGTCGCTCTTGGCCAGTCGGCTCTCGGCCGGAGCGCTGTCCCGGCGAGCCGCCTCAGGGCGCTCTGTGGACTCGGGCCCAGCGCCACACAGCTGCATGCTAATCCGTGCCCCTGGCACTTTGGTCAGGCCCACAGGCCCTTCCAGCCCTTCCCCATTGAAGCTGGAAGGGTGGCTCAGGGGCAGGGCCTGAAAGGAGACCACCGTCAGGCACACCCAAGCCCCTGGGTGGGGACCCAAACGCTCTGTCCCACCCGGCTCCTGGTCCCAGGTGCTAAGCTAATGGAAGCCTGAGGGTCTCCTGGCCCCTTAGCAGGAAGTTTCTGTTCTTGGGACTGTTCCTGGGTTCCAGCCTAAAGAAGTCCGTCATTCAGCCCTGCCCTTAAAACACACACACTCCCACTCATATACTCACGTGCTTACTTACACCAACACGGCCTCAATATCCACTCCCCACGCCCCTCCCACTTACCCCGGGGCTCGGCCACACTCACGTGCACTCACATTCACGCACGCGTACACTGAACACCAGAACGCGCTCACACTCCCACCTCAGCGGCCACCTCTGCGGGCAGCGTCGCACCCATCGGCAGCGTGTTGTGTTTCTTGAGCCGCCGCAACAGCTCCAGCCGCTCGCGCTCCTTCTCTACGGCGCGCTGGGCCTCGCGCAGCCGCTCCAGGTCGTGCTGGTAGGCCTGGCGCTGCCGCTCCAGCTCCTCGCGCTCCCGGCCCAGCCGCTCCCGCAGCTGCTGCGCCTCGCCCTCGCGCTCCTGCAGCCGCGCGGCCGCCAGCTCCAGCTCCCGCCGCTGCCTGGCGCGCTCCCGCTCCCAGCGCTGCTGCTCCAGGCGCAGCTGCTCCTGCAGCTTCTGCGCGCCCGCCAGCTCCTCGCGCTGCTTCTCGAAGGTGCGCTGCCGCTCCTGCTCCAGCAGCAGGCTCCCGCGGGTCGACTGGAGCCGCAGCTGCTTTTCGCGCTCCTGGATGGTGGCCCGTTGCAGCTCCACGAAAGTGTCCTGCTGAGCGATGACTGCCTGGGGGTCAGGGCGGGGACCCTTAGCCACAGAAAGTCCAACAACGGCACTCTCCCGCCCTGCGACTCTACCATAACTCAGAAGGCCACCAGTAGGTTCCAAAAGCCCCTCACCTGGAGACTGAGGAGCAGCTGGGACAGTGTCTGGATCCGCTGGACAAGCTGTGGGAGAGAGACACGCTGTTCCCAGCCCCCCCAGCTCATGGTGGCAGGCTCAGGGCCTGGGGAGCCGGGGAGCCCCGCACCTACCTCTGACTCCAGGCCACAGGGGCTGCTGTCTGCATCTGGCACCTGCAGAGACACAAGAGCAGACCACGTGGGGTCTGTCAGCCTGTACCAGCCCCAGGGCCGTGGCTGTTGCTCAGCAGGAGGCAGGGCTCAGGGCCCTGGGTCCTCCCCCTAAGGTCTGTCTGGTCAGGAGTGACGGTGGTGTCTGCAGGGCCCTCCGGTGTCCCGGCGAGCGATGTCATGTGGCTGCCGTATGGGAGGCCTGGAGGTTGGGCACACTCAGCTGCAGCGTGGGGAGGGCGGCTCTGTAGGCGAGGGGGCACCACCTAGCCCTGACTGATGCCCTCTGTCCACCTCACCTTTGACCCTGATGCTGGACAGGGGTGCATGTGGGAGGCTGGGCTTCTGAAGAGTGGGAGGTGAGGTTAGAGCTGGCAGGATGCTTAGAGCTGGTATGACACTATAGCTGGGGACCCGCCTGGCGTCTCACTGTCGATGGTCCCTCTCTATCCCTCCCAGCACTGCAGTTATGGGTCAGCCTCCCACTGACAGAAGGTACGTCCTGTTACGGGCCGAGTTGTTGCACCAAAAAGATATGCTGAAGTCCTAGTCCTCATGCCTGTGACCCTGACCTTGTTTGGAAACGGGGTCTTTGCCGATGTAGTCAGAGAATGCGAGGTTGGACAGGAGTAGGGTGGGTCCTAACCCTGAATCATTAGTTTTAGAAAGCTGGACATGCCAGACACAGCGGTAAGACAGCCTGTGACACAGGAGCGATGCTCCTGTAGCTGAGGCCACCAGCAGCTGGAAGACACAAGGAAGGGTCTAGAACCTTCCGGGGGAGCACGGCCCTGCTGATACCCTCAACTCAAGATGTCCCAGGCAGTGAGAAAAGATATCTCTGTGGCTTTAAGTGGCCCACATTTGTGGTGGTCCCAGCAGCTCACTCCTGCAGACACCCTAATCTGGGTGCGCTGTTCCCAAGATGGAACCGTGTCTGCTGCTGTCCACCATGAGGTGGGAAATCAGACCCAAGCAGGCTGCTCACGGTTGTCCCGGCACCAGGATGACTCAGACCGAGCCTGCACCGTCAGTGCCTATCCCAGGGGAACCACGTACTGCCGAGGGGGCTTCCTCTGGTGCCCATGGGATCTCGCCGGGCTTCCCCTCAGGGATGCTTGCTGGGCCTCGCAAGTCATGGGGCTTGGGGTCATTGCTGCAGACCTTTTTCTTCAAACTGCCGTCTGAAAACCATAGGGCAGGCGTTAGGATTCACAGGTACCCACGGGGGTCTGGAGCCCTCCCGTCAGGCTACTACCAGGCCCATGGTAACATGGGGAGGGGCACGTGTAGGCACAAAGATGTTGGGATGGGGCTTGAGAGGGTCTCAGAGACCAGCAGGGCAGCCACTGCCCTCAGAACAGAGATGACAAACCCCAGGCCACCAGGGCTTTTTGCCAGGGCCAGGGAAAGGAGCAAAGAGGGCTTTGCCAGGAAACTAGAGAAGGGAAAGGTCCTGGGGACCGCCACTGCCAATTCCCAGTGGTGGTGGTGCGCAGGGGAAGGGTGACCACTCACTCTTGCTGCTGGTGCTGTCGTAGCCCCCGAAGGTCTCTGCCCTGCGGGGTAGAGTGCTGATGCTGCTGTCCTCCGCCTGGCCATTGGCACTGCCCAGCTGTTTACAGAGCAGGCTCTGGATGTCCTCAACTGTGGGGAGACAGAGGGCTGGGAGCCGCCTGCAGAGCCCTGTGCTGTGCCCACGGTTGTGGTGCCACAGGGCAGACTGGCCTCTGCCGTGGGGTTTCAGACCCACTGAGGTTGTGAGCCCCTCACCCAGGTCTGCCACCAGGACCTGTCAATTCACGTATAGGTGAGGGCTCCTGGGGGCAGCAATGTCGGGGGACGGGGTACAGTGTTTTCCAGGGCTCCTGCCTGCTGGCTCTGGGTCCTGGGATGGGACGATGCTCTGGGGATAGCACAGACGGGGTCCCGCCCAGGTCCGGCGGGGACACAGGTGGGGATGATGTCGGGGCCATGGAGGGGAGTGGGATGAGGAAAGGGCATACTGCTTGGCAGTTGGGGGTTGCAAGGAAGGGCTGTTGCAACAAAGCCCCCCTCGTGAGTGGGCCAGATGGTGAGGCGGGAGAACTCGCCTGGCCAAGGCACAGGACACATGAGGGTCCTCAGGGGCCACAGGCAAAGGTCATTTGAGAAATGGAGTGAGGCCAGGGGTGGAGTGGGGCAGGACCGGGCAGAGCAGTTTTGGGTCTGCATAGTCTTGTCCTCTTTACCCTGCAGTGGGCATGGAGGGCAAGGCCCTTTGTCTGGAAGAGTGGTGCCAACGCTTGGGCAAAGATGACCAGTGGGTGCTAACAGCTGCCCTGGCACTCAGCACAGCCCAGGGCCGTGCGTGGCCCAGAGAAGGCAGGCCGTGTGTGCGCCAGCGTTCCCTGCCACGGTAGCCACAGTACTTGCACACAGCTGAGCTCAGAGCACCTTCCATAGACACCAACATTGTCCAGCAAACGTGAGGCTGCTGTTGGCTGCCCTTGAGCGGACTGACTCATGGCGGCCCCATGTGTACAGAGCTGAACTGTTCCATGGGGTCGACTGTAATCTCAATGGAAGCAGGTTGCCAGGCCTTTCTTCCGCAGTACCTCCGGGTGTGTTTGAACCACCATCCTTCAGGCTATCAGTCAAGCTTGAGCTATTTACGCCATCTCGGGCCCGAAAATGGGCCTGCTGCTGCTGTCGTCAGGTGCCGTCAGGCTGATTCTGACTCGTGATGACCCCACGTGGCACAGTAGGGGTTTCAGGGCTGTGGCTTTTCAGAAGCTGGTCACCAGGCCCTTCTTTCAGGGCATCTCTGGGTGGGCTTCAGCTGTTAACCCTTTAGCTAGGAGTTGAGTGCTTTACTGCACCCCCAGGGATCCATCATGCTGTGTGCGTTTTTCTGGGGATGTGACCAGTGACCCGCCTTTCACAAAGATCAGGGACCTCCAAAGGTGGGGACACTGTGTTGGTCAGCTCCAACTCTCCAGGGCCCGGCAGTAGGTACCTGGTGAGTGAGTGCTGGACGTGTGGGAGGTGCTTTAGCCCTGCAGGGAGGTTGGGCTGGGCCGTGTCCAGGAATCTTCTGGCTCTAACAGACAGTGGCAGGGTTGGCACTGCTCCTATACACGTCACTCAGCCAGACACCAGCACGTAGGGCTGGGGTGAGCCAACTCACTGTGTGCCTGGCCTGGGGTAAGTTACTGTGCCGTCCCCAAGGAGGCCCCCAGAAGAACCATAGCTGGGTGGGAGGGGGCGGCACCCAGGGCAGGCTCTGGACATAGCTACTTACTCTCCGTCATGGCGGACCTGAGAATCAGCTCCCCCTGCAGGTTCTCAGAAAGGTCTGCTCCCCGGAAAAGGAGCCGAGCCTGGGGGCCCTGGGTGCTGTCCTCGAGCCCACTCATCTCCCACATCTCCAGGAAGATCTGCTGCTTCTCGCTGAGGCTCTGAGTGATCAGCTGGTCCTTCACGCTCAGGCGCTCTGCAGGGAAGCGCAGGGCGGCCCTCAGCCTGCTGGGCCCTCCCACCTGCAGGGCCAGCCTCTAAACCCATGCTCCCAGACACTCAGCCCCAAGCATCACTGCTGCGGAGAGCAGCGGGCCTGTCCTGAGGGGCTGCTCCCATGCACACCTCTGCCCCCACAACCTTCCTGGGAGGTGGGAGTCAGGGACTAAGTGGTAGTCCCCCTAAAAGATACGGTGACATCCTAACCCCAGGACCTGTGATTGTGGCCTTGTTTGGAAATAAGGTCTTTGCAGATGTAGTTAGTTACCATGAGGTCATCCAGGAGTAGGGTGGGTTCTAATCTTCTAAGTGGTGTCCTCACAAAAGAGAAGAGACAGAGAGACAGACGCAGAGACAGAGAGACACAGACAGATAAAGAGACAGAGAGACACAGAGAGAGTTACAGAGACAGAGAAACGCAGAGACAGAGACATTGAGATTGATACAGAGAGAAACAGAGATGCAGAGACAGATAAAGATGCAGAGAGAGAGAGACGCAGCAGACTGAGGTGGAGACTGGAGTGAGGTGTGTACAAGTCAAAGAACGGCAAGGGTGGCCACTGTCTCCAGAAGTGAGGAGAGAGGCAGGGCACAGACTCTCCCTCAGCGCCTTGGAAGGAATCGATCTAGCTGGCACCTGGGGCTTCTGGCCTCCAGGACTGTGAGACTGTACATTTCTGTGGTCACAAGCCACCCCGTTTGTGGTACTTTGTTATAGCGGCGCTTGGAAACTAACACAGTGAGTGGGCTGGGGCATGGACCCTTGTATGAAGTCAGACAGTGGGCAAGGATAAGGCTGTAAGAGGCTGATTATCAGAGGAGTCCCTAGTGGGAAATGGTGAACATGCTCAGCCCCCGACCCAAAGGCTGGAGGTTCGAGTCTACCCCGAGGCCCCTTGGAGAAAGGCCAGGTGATCTACTTCCAGAAAATCAGCCCCTGAAAACCCTGGGAGCCGCTCCCTGTCTGGAGCAAAGACGAGTGAAGAAAATCAAAGATGCAAGGAAACAATCAGTCCAAAGGACTAAAGGACCATGTGAACCTCAGCCTCCATGACCCTGAGACCAGAAGAACTAGATGGTGCCCGGCCACCACTGCTGACAGCTGTGAGAAGGATCACAATAAAAGGCCCTAAAAAGAATGTGGGAAAATGTGGAACAAAACCCCAAATCGTAGAAAGACCAGGCTTACTGGCCTGATAGAGACTGGTAGAAGAGCAGATATATGGCCCTCGGACATCCTTCATGTCTGGAATTGAACTCACCTGTGGCTCAAGTTTCCGCCTAACGACAGGCCATAAGGTGAACAAACAGCCACACCAGGGAGGCACACACCCCTTAGAACAATCAAGGCTATAAGATCAAAAGGGCAGCATGTGCCCAGGGCTAGAGCTCAGAGCTCAGAAGGCAGGAAGGGACAGGAGAGAAGGACCAACAGAAACAGTAACCACAGGGAGGAAGTGGGAAGAGAGCTGCTACACTGTGGGGATTGCAATCAATGTCACAAAACAAAATGGGTAGGAATAGAAAACCAATTTGCTCTGTCAACTTTTACCCAAATCACAACAATAATAATAAAAAAAGCACCAAATAGTACAAAACTAAAAGTACAAAATACAAAGCACAAAACCCTGTGGAGCCACCCGCTCTGACACACACGGGGTGCCACGAGGCGCTGACTCACGGCGGCTGGGTCACGGCACTGGGTTTTCTCACCTCACGAGTCTTCTTAGGCCTCTCCCCTCCAGGTCTTCTCCCTTTCACTCCTTCCTACAGGTCTCAGGGTTTCACACTCTCCACTGTGGCTGGCGGGACTTGGTTATCATACCTGCTTACTGTGGGTGGCCACTGCCCATATACCGCGTTCAACAAAGGCAAGCTCTTCTACTTGTGCCAATAATTCTTCAGTGGATTCCACTGGGTTTTCTGGTAATTGATCTGGTAAATGATCAACTGCAACAAATCTCTGTGGTCTCCAATCCAGTTGTTGTTATTGTTAGGTGCTGCTGAGTCGGCTCCTACTCATAGTGACCCCGTGGACAACAGAACAAAACACCGCCCGGTCCTGCGCCAGCCTCACGATCCCTGCTAGACCTGAGCCCACTGTCGCAGCCAATGTGTCAGTCCATCTTGTTGAGGGGCTTCCGCCTTTTCGCTGACCCTTCACTTTACCAGTTCTGGTAATTATGTCTAATTTCTGTTTTGTCCCTTGCTACCCTGGCTGAACATTTCAGAATGAAAACAGTGATGAGTGTGGGCAGATCACTTGGCTCCTGATCTGGTGGGAGCGTCTCCAGTGTTTCCACTCTTCAGGATGATGTCAGCTTTTGATTCAAGGTGCTAAGTAGTTCATGACAGCTCGCAGGCTGAGCTGGGACAGCACGGAGAGCTCCTACCCTCTCAGGGGGTCGGAGCGAGGACAGGGTGGGGGCAGTGTCTGGCTGAACAATCAGATTCCCAAGGAGCCCAGGGGCCCTGAACCCCATGCTCCCCATTTCCAACAATCCCCAGGGAGGGCCCTGTAGCCTCTGGAAGGTGTCTGCCTCATGACACAGCCTTGTTCCAGACACTCGGCCAGACACGAGAACACAAGGCTGCCCTCAGCAAATGCCCTGTCATCTGGGCAGGGGTTTGTGCTGGGGTCCGTCTGGACTGGTCAGACTGTGCTGCTGGCCTAAATGATCAGGTCTGTCTAGGCAAAAGGGAATATACCCATGACCATACATAAGTTTGGCAGACGATATTTCTACATACATATTTGTAGGTGCTACAAGAATGTCCATATAAATAGCACTACCAGGGCCAAAGTTCTGATAACTTCTCATGCACAGCCAACCACACTGAGGGAGCAGGCTGCTGTGCCTGTGGGCTCGAGACCATGGTCACAGGAGGCATCAAGCACAACTGGCATAACATACTACACAAAATCTTTGGTTTACATCCTACTTTGGTGAGTAGCAACTGGGGTCTTAAAAGCTTGTAAGCAGCCATCTAAGATGCAACAACTGGTCTCTCCTCATCTGAAGCAAAGAATGAAGAAAACCAAAGATGCAATTGGTCCAAGGGACTAGCAGATCATGCCTCAGTCTATATGACCATGACACCAGAAGAACTAGATGGTGCCCAGCTACCAGTGTCGACCACTTGGAAAGGGCTCAGTGGAGATCCTGGATAGAGTGGAAGAAAAATGAGGAACAAAACTCAAAATCATTAAAAAGACCAGCCTTACTGGTCTGATAGGGACTGGAAAACCCCCAAGACTAGGGCCCCTAGTCACCCTTCAGGCCTGTCACTGAATTCATTCCCATGGCTTCCAGCCAGATGACAGACAGGTGTATAAGGTGAACATTTACTTCAGGTAGGTACACTCCTTAGAATAATCAACCGGAGACCAGAAAGGCAGTATTTGTACAGGGAGACAGCTCAGAAGGCAGAAATGCATAGGAAAGAAGGACAGAGGGAAGAGGTAACCACAGGGAGGAAGTGGGAAGACAACTGTTACACTGTGGGGAACTGCAGTCACTATCATGAAATAAAATGTGTATGAACTGCTTTATGGAAAAGGAATTTGCTCTGTAAACTTTCAGAAAAAAAAAAAAAAGTGCCACCGTCTGTGGTGCTGTCCAGCCCCAGGACAGACACATCCCCGTTGCTGGGCTCACTGCTGCCCCCCTCCCCCGTGGAGTTGGCCCAGAACTGGGCAGGTGGGCATGGAGGTTCCAGCTGACCCCCCTTACCTTGGAACTCCTTCAGTCTCATGGCCCGGGCCTCAATCATCTTCCTTTCCTCTTCAGCCTCACTGAAGGGCCCCTCCTCCTCGTCTGAACAGCTGTGAGGAGACAGGAAGTAATGGGGATGCCTCACAGGCCACCTGGCCTCTGAGAGTGGACCTTGAAGGTTTATCTGCACAACTAAGTACAAGTGCAAGTTGGTGAGTGAGGTGACTTGCTAACAGTGCAGAAGAAACGAGGACGGGAAGGGAGAGAAGCCCATGCGCTTCTGCCCAGCCCCCGTGCAGGCAGCAGTGGGCACTGACTAACACATGGAACCAGGCTATCGTAACACTCGGCTTCAACTTGGAGGAGGATGCTGACAAGCCATTAAACTAGCGGGCTGATGGACCAATAGACAACGGACTGTTGATGGACCAACAGGCCAATGGACTGATGAACCAACAGGCTGATGGACTGACAGACCAATGACCAATGGACCCATGAGCCAATGGGCTGATGGACCAATGGACAGACCAAAAGGACGGAAAGATCAATAGACTAGTTGACTGATGGACCCCTCATTCACTGGGGATCTGCTGGGCAACTCCAGCTGAGCTGAGGCTGGGAATGGTATTGAGGGAGCTGCAAGCAGGCTCCGGTTTCAGGAGGCCTCTGGTGTAAGGAGAGGGAGTGGGAGGCTAGTTGAACACAGGGGCTGGGTCACCTGTCCTGCCTGTTGGTCAGATGGACCAGAAGCCAGGAAGGGGACAGTGGGGCCAGGCAGCTGGCATCCTGAGGGAGGCTCAGGCCAAGGAGAGAGGGCAGGCTGCACCACCCGCTCCAGCAGGCCAGCCTCCAGGCTGGGGGGAGGGGATAGCCCTCCGAGTCGGGCAGACAATCCACGGATACAGAAAGGCCCAGGTTGGAACCGTTGTTGGAAGGAGCTGGCAATGGTGCTGCCTGGTCCTGTGAGGTTGGGAGGCACCGAGCACAGGGGTGGGGTGAAGGAGAGAAGCACTGCACCGGGCAGGTCAGGGTCAAGGACAAGGTCAGAGCAGGAGGAGGCCCACCTCTCCACAGCTCTGCGGATATGGGCCATCCAGGTGTTGCGCTCCTCCTTGGAGCCTGTGTAGATCTCATACATCTCCGGCCCCTTCAGGGAGGCGCTGATGAGGAACATGGCTTTCTCCTCGTTGGCCACTTCCCGCACGATGAGCTTTTGCAGAGACACGACAGGAGGCTTTGAGTCCTGCAGGGCAAACGGTAGCATAGCGCCTAAGGCACTTGACTGCTAACCAGAAGGCTGGCCGTTCAAACCCACCAGCCACTCCTCAGAAGGAAGGCTGGGCAATCTACTTCCATAGTGATACCGCCTCAGCAGCCCAAGGAGGGGTCGCTATGAGTCGGAGCTGACTTGACGGCTCATAACAACAACAATAACAGGGCAAACGGGGTGCAGAGGGTCACTCTCATCCAACCACAGCTGCATGCTGGCAAGAAATGAGTGGGGGCAAGGGTTGAGAGGGGCAGTCACATGTCTACTTATGTTCACTCCAAGCAGAAACGTCCTGCGGTCATAACAACAGAGTCGCTGGGGGCTCAGGGGTGGAATTCTCGCCTTCCGTGTGGTTCGGCTCTGGCCAGTGCTCCTCACGTGCAGCTCCCACCCGTGTGTTTGTGGAGGCTGCGTGTTGTTAGGATGTGGAACAAGTTTCAGTGCAGCTTCCAGACTGACTCCACACAGCTAACAGCTACAACCACGACAGCAGGAGCAGCAGCTGCCAACCTTAACTGGTCTGAGTTGGGATTTAACAACTGTGTGAGACAAACGATCAGCCAGACAGCCTGGCCCAGTTTATGAGGCTGGAAGGAACAGGGGAGGGTTGGGAACTTCTAGAGAAGCGATTTTATACATTTGAGAAAGGTATATACTGTTGTTGGCTGCTGTTGAGTGGGCCCCAACTCATGGCGACCCCACGCACCAGAGAATGGAATGCTGCCCAGTTCTGTGCTCCACGTGGTCGGCTGCAGATCAGACTGCAGGGATCCACGGGGGTTTCATGGCCTGATTTTTGGGAGCAGACAGCCAGGCCTTTCTTCCTAGTCTATCTTAATCTGGAAGCTCTGCTGAAGCCTGTTCAGTGACTTAGCAACACACACGCCTCCCCTGACGGTCGGTTGGTAGCTGTGCATGAGATGTACCGGCTGCGAATCGAACTCGGCTCTCCACATGGGGGAGAATTCGACCAATGGGCCACCACGGCTGCAGTTAGTCATAAAAGTGGCTGTTCTGTCAAGGTGGACCCCGAAAGCAAACAGGTTACTGGAGGCCCCAGTAGCTGGTATTCACTGGGAAGGGGCCTTATGCCCTCCCCTGCACTGCTGGATGTTGGAAGGCCCTGAAGTCATGCTAGGTGCCTGGGGGAGGACGCCAAGCCCAGGTAGACACAAGGCTGAGAGAGGGGGTGGATGGAACCCCAACCTGTCTCTGAGTCTGCCGTGCAGAGTGGGGTGTGGTTGCTAAAGCTCCCACAGCCAGGTGGGGTTCTGAGGTCCCAGGACACAGCTCATGGGGCAGCACTTCCTTGACCTTGGGGCCTCAGCAATAGAGCCAGCAGCTCCCTGGGCAGAAGGAGTGGCTTTCTGTAAGGACTCTGGGGCCTGTGGGCACGGTGTGGTGCTTGGGAGAGGAAGAGCCAGGGAGACACCCAGCACCCACTGCCACTGAGTCGATTTCGACTCACAGCAGCCCTAGAGGACACAGCAGAACTGCCCCGTAGGGATTCCAAGGCTGTCAGCCTTCACGGAAGCAGACTGCCTCATCTTTGTCCCTCGGTACCGCTGGTGGGTCTGAATCTTTTCATTAGCAGCTGAATGCTTTAACCACTGCACCACCAGAGCTCCTTCAGTAAGACACAGAGATTGAAATGGAAAAGGATGCTTGGGTAAGAACCAGAAGCTGCCTATCAGCCTCACTGTTTATCAGTCAAGGAGGCAGGCAGGACCCCATCTGATTGGCTCCTCAGACCGCAATGGGCCTGGGACACACGGACACACGGGGTTGCTCATGGATACACACGTGCAGCCACTCTCACCTCTGGCTGCTCCCTCAGCCATTTCTGCCCAGGATGGCCATGAAGCAAATGCCCCGCCAGCAGGACGGAAAGGGACAAGGACTTACCACAGAAGCAAAGACGTATTTCTGGTCCTTTTCTTGTAGCAGGAGGAGGACATCCGTCAGTAGGACAGCAAGAACATCTAAGGAGAAAGCAGGCCAACTGAAGACAGGCTTAAGGGCTACCACCGGGGACTGTCCCCAGGCAGGGAAGCCCTGTGGAAGGGAGATTGCAGACGCTGCGACATCACGAGGGCTCCTCCCTACCTCAGCCCTGCCCATCATCTGCTCGGCTTTCAGCAGCCAGCCCCAGTTACGGGCAGAAGTAAGCTCTGCCGGGCCCCTCGGAGCCTCAAGTTCAGGACCTGTGGAGCCACCCGTCCCTTTGGACTGCCCTCTTGGTGCCTGCTGAGTCTTGATCAGATTTCTCAAGTGGGAACTGACCCCGCTGTGTTCCCCACTTCCAGGGCTTGAGCCACTCGACTGCCTCCCGCCTCCTCCCACAGTGACGTGTGCCTGTGGCAGGCACTTGGGGCCTGCTCCTGCAGGAACATCTGGTGCCCTGCAGTCTTTGCACTCAGTAAGCAGCTCTGTTGGATTTCCTATTAGAACACTCGTGTGGCAGGATGGTTCATGTTATTTTCCCAGGGGAGCCTCTTCCAACACGTGCATCCAGATTAGATACTCTTGCATGGCTTCTTTAAAGAATTTCCCATACTTTTAACTATTTATTTTTTGTTTACTTATTTCTCTCTTTGTCCCATGATGACTGAGCCCAGCCACGCCCACCGTCACAGAGTTGATTCTAACTCACAGCCACTCTAGAGGACAGAGTAGAACTGCCCACAGGATTTCCAAAGGCTGTAATCTATATGGGAGCAAAGCCCAAACCAAACCTACGGCTGTCCAGTTAATTCCAACTCACAGTGCCCCTATAGGACAGAGTGGAACTGTCCCACAGGGTTCCCAAGGCTGAAAAGCTTTATGGAAGTAGATTGCTTCATCTTTCTCCAGTGGAGCAGCTGGTGGGTTTGAACTGCTGACCATTTGGTTACCAGCCAAATGCTTTGACCACTGTACCATCAGAGCTCCTTCTGATGACTGAAGCAGGGACCCATCTAAAATGATGTCCACTCCCGTCTTCGTGCCTGGCACACAGAAGGTTATTAATTATGTTTGCTGGGAGCCCTGGTGGCATAGTGCCTAAGGCATTTGACTGCTAACCAGAAGGCTAGCGGTTCAAACCCACTAGCCACTCCTCAGAAGGAAGGTTGGGCAATCGACTTCCATAGTGATACCATCTTGGAAATCCAAGGAGGGGTCGCTATGAATTGGATCAACTTGACGGCAGTGAGTTTTTTTGTTTTGTTTTTGGATACATGTCTGCTTGAGTTAAGAAGACACCTGTTCTGTAACTTAGCCACCTGAAATACTCCCCCAAAGATCTTCCTTAAAGATGCTGATGGCAATGAACACGTTGCTATGGACTGAACTGTGTCTGTTCACAGTACGTGGCAGCCTCCTGACCCCTCCCCGGTGGCTGTGATCCCATCTGGGAATAGGGTCTTTACTATGGTCATGAGGCCGCATCAGTGCAGGTGGTGCCTTAAACTACTCGAGAGATCAAAGAGAACATCAGGCACTGGGACGAGTGTGGGAGAGACAGATGCCGTGCAGAGACTGCCAAGGAACGCCGGGGCTGGAGAGGCGGAGGCAAGGCCCTCCCCTAGAGGCGACCAAGAGCCTTCTGCTACAGCCGGTGGCCTGCGTTCAGACCGCTGGCCTCCTGAACTGGAAGAAAACACATTTCTGTTCACTAAGGCCACCCCTTGTGGTGCTTCTGCTACAGGAGCACTAGGAGGCTAAGATACACACATTAAGCTGTTTCTGGAGGCTTAGAGCGGACTTAGGGGTGAGTCCTGAGCGCTCCCTGGCCTGGAACTGTAATGTGAGCTTGTCAGTGAGGTTTAGGGCACACGCTGAGCAGTGGGTGGGATGCTTGGGATGCTGAGGTCAGCAGCCTTGGTGGTGTTTTCTACCCCCATGGGGGGCCTTCTGTGGAATGGGCTTCTGTTGGCCCGAGGAAAGGGGCCCACGACTATGTGCAGACTGCAGCTAAGCCTGGTTGGGACCTCGGGGCTTCTGGCAAACCTGGGGTGTCACGATGCTAAGGCTTGGGTTTCTATTTGGAAGCCAACGTCTCATTGTGCCCTCTGCACCCAAAGGTGCTCCTGGCTCGTACCACATGGTTCTGAAGACCAGAGAATGTGCGTGCTGACACCACTGCCTTGTTCCCGCCATGGCCCAGGCTTCCTGTGCTGATTCGGACTCAGCACATAACCTCCCTTTGGCCGTGAAGTAGCCAGAATGTAGGGGCTCTGTGTTAGCAAGTGCCATTCTACCGATTCAAGATGTCACCCACCAATCCAAGATGGGGCCTGATGACCCAGGACAAGTGTTCACAAATCCAAGAGGACACCCACTGATGCAAGATGGTGTCTAGTGATTCAAGATGCCACTCACCAATCCAAGATGGTGCCCACCGATCCAAGAAGAAACCCACTGATCCAAGATGGTGCCCACCGATCCAAGAAGAAACCCACTGATCCAAGATGGGGCCTGATGATTCAGACAGTGGCCACAAATCCAAGAGAATACCCACTGATGCAAGATGGCACCTACTCAATTCCTTAAAAAGTTCGAATTAGAAATACTGCTTGATCCAGCAATCCCATTACTAGGTATATATTCTAAGAAGTGAGAGCCAGGACAAGAACAGACACATGCACACCCATGTTCAGTGCAGCACTATTTACAATAGCAAAGAGATGAAAACAACCTAGCTGCCCATCAACACAAGAATGGATAACCAAATTATGGCACATACACACAATGGAATACTATGTAACAGTAAAGAATAATGTAGACTCTGCAAAACACCGCGTAATGTGGATGAACTTGGAGGACATTATGCTGAGTGAAATAAGTCAATCACAGAAGGACAAATACAATATTAGCTCATTACTGTAAGAGTAAAGGAAAGATTTATATATGGAAGGAAACTTTCTTTGTTGGTTACCAGGGGTGAGAGGGAAGGGAACACTGCAAAAATTAAAAAAGTGCCACCTGATTCAAGATGCTGTTCACCAATCCAAAATGACACCCACCAATCCAAGATGGCACCTACCAATCCAAGATGGTGCCCACTGACCCAAGATGGTGCCTACTGATTCCAGATGCTGCTCACCAATCCAAAATGACACGCTTCAATCCAAGACGGCACCCGCTGGTGCGAGCTGGTGCCCGCTGGGGGTGGCCAGGGGTGGGGCTTTACCTTTCAGGCGCCCTGACATGGTCTTCCAGCACAGCGTGCCCTCCAGGTAGAGCTGCCGCTGCAGCATGTCCTCCTTGCGGAAGGTCAGCCCGTTCTTGAGTTTGCTGGAGGACTTCAGGTCCATCTTCCCTGCGATCTCCCGGAGGCGCTGGCCTTTCTCGTACTCACTGACCTTGGCATCCACTTGTGAGATGATGTCTTTGATGAGGTTCAGGGCCTGGGTCAGGTCATCATAGTCCTCGGTGCCAGCTGCCACACATAGCAGAGTTAGAATTAGTGCCCTTCTTTGTCTGAGTCAACAGACATTTAGGTTTTGCCAGGACAGAGAGTCTGTGTAACGCACAGATGAGACACAAGCCAAGCGACAAAAGCTGCCCTGCATGGCCTGGACAGGGCTGCATAGCAAACATAACTCCCCCCGCCCACTAGCACTTCACAAAAGCCTCCCCCCACCTTCTGCCGTGGCCAGGAGCTGGCTCCTCCCTGTCCAGGGGCAGGGTGGCTATGTCTGGGGAACATGCTCATCTCACAGTGCCCTGGGGCCAGCATTCCCCTGGCCTCTCGGCTGGACTGCGTGCCCTTTCTTGACTCCAGGCACAGCCCTCCTATGTGACACTGAGGTCCCCTCTGTGCCTATCTGCGTCACCCAGGAGTGGCTTTCAAAAGGGCTCTGTCTCCATCCATTCATCCATTCCGTGGATAGTGACCAAATGCCTGCTCTGGCCCAGCTGGCTAGAGGCTAGGGGATGCTGTTGTTGGGTGCCGTCAATTAGAACTCATTGTGACCCTCTGTGACAGAGGAGAACTGCCCCATAGGGAGTCATTTGTATAGAAGCAGACCTCCAGGACTTTCTCCTGTGGAAGTGGTGGGTGGGTCTGAACCGCCAACCATCCAGTTGGCAGCCAAGAGCTTAACCATTGTGCTACCAGAGCTCCTTAGGGCTGGGAGATGGTGGGCAAACCAGACCCGGCCCTGCCCTTGTGGCTCTGCCCACCAGACCCATGCCCTGGGGAGCACAGTGGGCTCTGGGTAGCAGGGCCTCAACCGAGAAGCACTGGATGAAGCTGCACGGGGAGAAACTTGGGGGCTACCCCATCCACTGCTAACACGAGGCACAGCACGGACTGCCTGGCAGTGCTGGGGGCTGGCGCCATACCTGCCGTGTTCTGAATAACCCGCTCCACCAGCACCGGGTACTTGGTGATGCGCTGAGTGACCAGCAGGATGCACTCCTGAACGCCCAGCCGTCGCACAACGGCGAAGTTCCCAATTTTCTATGAAACGAAAAACAGCACAGCACGCTGCCATCTCATCACTTGCCCGAACAGTTCATGATGGGCGACCAAGGCCGGGGCGCCTTCCTTTCCCTGCTCCAGGGACGAGGACAGGAGCAGGACTACATAGGGACACACACACCAAATACCTGAGAGCAGGGATCACCTGGTGTATACAAGGTCAGCAAAGCAAAGTGGAGTAGGTGCTGTGTGAACAAGGGCCCTCAGAACCCAGGAGGAAACAGAAGCAGAGTCGCGATTCTAAGTCGGGGCAGGTACTGGAGCTACCTGTGGAGCTGTCCAGCACACACACACACACACACACCCCCAAACACACAGTCAGAAAATCCCAAACCTGGCTGACATCTGTACACACACACACACACACACACACGGAAAAGCCCAACTCTGGCTGATACCTGCCCAACACACTCTCACCCCCACCCCAACCCCCACCAAGAATCCCAACCCTGGCTGATACACGCACACACACACACCAAGGGAAAAGCCCAACCCTGGCTAACACCTGTACACACACACATAAACACACACAGAGCTAAAGGGACAGGGAGGCCACATGTTCTGACCTCCTCTAACCCCACAAGAGGAGGGCAGAATCACTATCAGCAGCCCAAGGCCTATTCCTGTGAGGCCAGACATGCTGCCTCCCTCCAGCCCTTTCACCAACCCTGACACCAACCGTTGCTCCTGCAGCACCCACCACCTCTCTGCTGGCCTCAACAATTCATTGCAATGGCCACACAGAACTCACAGACACCACTCACAGATTGTGGGGTTTGCTAAGGAAGCAACAGACTACAACTCAAATTTAGGAACATGCTCAGGGTTCAGTTCCTTGGCCAGGACAGTTTCCCCTCTGCCATGCCCTCAGACCTGCCTCTGTGGCCCTTGGCCATCCGGTCTGGCCTCTGCCTTGGTGGGTCGGCTAAGCCTGTCGCTCTGTCTCATGCCTCTTGGTTCTGCTGCTGCCGTCTCTCAGCTGGGTGTCTCTCTCAGTAATGGGTCTGTCTCTCAGCCATGGGTTGGACTCCCAGCCACACATCTCTCTTAGCCAGCAGTGACAGAAATGACCCCTCTCTGCCTCTAGGAAGACTCACTTTAAGTCTGCCAGAGTGGCAAAACCAAGCAATCCCAACACCAGAATTCCACCCATGGATCCATGGATAGTGACAAATGCCTGCTCCGGTCCAGCTGGCTAGAGGATAGGGGATATTGCTGAGAAAGAGCTAACTTCCTAGAAAATTGCTTTGTGCTGCTCGCAACAGAAATACCCCACGTGGATAACTGTAACAATCAGGAGCTACTTAGGTGCTAATGGCAAATTCAACCACCAAGTTTGCAAAGACTATGGCTAGAAAGGCCATACTATGTAATCTACTACACTGCACACACACACACACACACGGAAAATCCCAACTCTAGCTGACACCTGCACAAATACACACACACACACACTCTCTCACATGGAAAATTCCAACTGTGGCTGATACCTGCCCAACACATACTCTCACACCCCTACACACATTCACACATGGAAAATCCCAACCCTGGCTGGCACCTGTACACAGATACATACACACTCTCACACCCATACACACATGGAAAATCCCAACCCAGGCTCTCTCTCTCTCTCACACACACACACACACACACACAGAGGGGAAGACCCTAATCCTGACTGGTGCTGGTCAGAACCTTCTAGAACTAGATGGAGTATGTGCCTTCTGAACTGGTTCCCTGCTGGCTTCCAACATGCACCTCTGTACCTCTGGCTGAGAAGCAAAGAGGCCATCATCTGAAGTCACCTCTCAGTGGGACAGGAGAGCAGGAGGGCGCCTTCTAGAACACAGCACACATTATGCTCTTCTCTGCCCCTGCTCTCGTGTGTGTTTGGGGAAGGCCAACCGTCGCCCGCAGCCAGTCCTGCAGAGGGCTTGGGGGCAGCCGTGGACGAGGGCCTCCCGCACGGAGGCCCGTATGTGTCTTTCTGCTACATCAGAACTCTCCCACCCTCCTGGCTTTCCTGCTCAGGCCAGTGCATCGCCGGTGAGCGCAGGCCACACAGTGACCCTTGCTTTCACTTCCAACCACTGCAACTGTAACAGAACAGAGTCGAAAGAACACAGAAACTCTTAACTTCCAACCCGTAGCTGCTGAATAGCAGCACAGAATAGAGAGGCCTCTGGCTCAGACAACAGGTGACAGCTGTTGGTCTGGATTCACGTGCCCTCTGTTGCTAGGTGCCGTTGAGTCAGCCCGACTCATAGTGACCCCACACACAACGGAACCAAACACTGCCCAGTCCTGAGCAGTCCCTGTGATGGGTTGTAGATCAGACCGTTGGGATCCAGTTTCACCGCCTGATTTTGGAAGGAGATTGCCAGGCCTTTCTTCCTAGTCTGTCTTAGTCTGGAAGCCCCACTGAAACTTGTTCAGCAACCCAGCCAGGCACAAGCCTCCATGAATAGATGGTTAGTGGCTGTGCATGGAATGCAGGGGCTGGGTGTGGAACTGAGTGGCCCGCACAGAAGGTGCTCGTTCCACCACGAGGGCTGCCGAAACGGTGGGTACTGCTTCAGTTAAGTGGGTGTCACCCTAAGGGAACTCTGTAGGCCAGGGGAGGTGGGGTGGGGGACTCAGGCTGTGTGAGGTGCTTCTGGCTCCAAGCTTTGAGCACCTGCATGGGTTGGGGAGAGGTGTGAGCACCTGCGTGGGTTGGGGAGAGGTGTGGCACGTGTCCCATAGGCTTGCTGGAGCAAACCTGAGCCCATGAGGGAGGAGACAAAGATTTACAATGGCAGAGGAGTTCCCGGGCAGCACAGTCAGGCACTCAGCTACACATACACACACATACACATGACAAAGCTAACAATGTGAACCCACCCACGGGTGCCTCAGAAGAAAGGCCTGGTGACCCACTTCTGAAAAATCATCCTCTGAAAACCCCCTGGAGCCCAGTTGTGCTCTGACACATGGGGTGCCGGGAGTCAGTCAGCCCGACAGCAGCTAGTTCACTACAGCAAGTACTCAGTGGAGAGAGGCGGTGATGAGGTGGCACAGGGCGGCCCCTTGAAATGACCCTGGCTTGTCATCCAAATAGTCCGAGAGGTGCTGGCAAGCAGGCTCCACACCAGGGCCTGCACGGGCCACGTGGGTGCCAGGGGTGAAGGAAGAAACCACTAGATACTTGTTGCCCCGATTTGCTTTACATCCTAGGATTCTACATAAGATTTCATGGACCAAGGGCCTTGGGGTCGAAAACAAAACAAAAACTTGAACATCACTATATCCTACAGTCCCAAGGTCCCAAGAGTGTACAGTTCTGCAGCAAAATCCTACAGCAAAGAGAATAAGCTTTTATTTATTTATGTTTTTACCTTGATCAAGTTCTGAAATTTCTTGTTTTGCTGCATCAGCAACTTGTAATGACTGACGGCTTCGTTGTGGCCGCTACAAAAGATGCCGTATTTTTCTTTCATTCTTTCTCCATTTTCCCCGGAAAACTAGTACGAGAAAGAACGAGACATTACCATACTGATGAGGAAGGCCAGCTGTTTACAAGTGTGGGGGCCTCTTTGAATTGGGCTCCTCTGATGCTGCTGATGTAACCCCTGCACTGACCCGTAAATTCACTTCCCTCCCCAGCACGTACCCTAACAGGGAGGGCTCAGAACAGGGAGGCTAATTCCAGGGTCTACCAGAAGGATTAGAGGGTGCCCGGCCACTACTGCTAACCGCTCTGAAAGGGATCACAATAGGAGGTCCTGGATAGAGTGGGAGAACAATGTGGAACAAAACTCAAAATCAAAAACAGACCAGGCTTACTGGTCTGGTAGAGCCTGGTGAAACTCCCGAGACTATGGCCTCAGACACCCTTCAAGCCTGTAACTGAACCCACCCCCGTGGCTCAACTTTCAGTCAAACTACAGGCCTGTAAGGTGAACAGTCACAGCAGGGAGGTACACACCCCTTAGAACAGTCAGCCATATGAGAGCAGAAGGGCAGCATCTGCCCAGGGATAAGGCTCAGAAGGCAGGAAGGGACAAGAGAGAAGGATGAAGGGCAGCTGGGAACATGGGGTGGGGGTAGGGGGTGGGACGAGTGCTGTCACTCTCCAGGGACTGCAAGTCAATGTCACAAAACAAAATGCACGTGAATCACTGAATGGAAAACCAATTTGCTCTGGAAACTGTCACCCAAATCACAATTTAAAAAACAACAATAAGAAAGGTGAAGAGAGAGCTTTCGGCTTAAGGGTTTCGCTGTGTCTCAGATGCTGAAAACGTCCTAAAACCTTTCAACAGAAAATGTAAGCTGATGAGTGTCTGCAAAATTAAAGACCAAAGTGGTTCATCACGCTGAGTGAAGTAAGCCAATCACACATACACAAAAACCAATCTCACTGCCATCCAGTTGATTCGACTTGTAGTGACCCCTCCTTAGGTTTCTGAGGTGGTATCACTACGGAAGTAGATTGCTCAATCTTCCTTTTGAGCAGTGGCGGTGGGTTTGAACTGCCAGTCTTCTGGTCAGCAGTCAAATGCCTTAGGCACTACACTACCAGAGCTCCACAGAAGGACAAATATTCTATGAGTCCACTATTGTAAAAAGTCAAGGAAAGGTTTATATATAGAAGAGAACTTTCTTTGTTGGTTACCAGGGATAGGAGGGGAGGGGAGGGAAAATTCCTAGACAGGTTCAGGAAAAAAGATTATTGGTGGTTACCAGGGATGGGAGGGAGGAGCAAAGGGGAAGGTTTTGTTTGCTGGGCACTGAGTTTGTGCTCATGGTGGTGGAATATTTTGGAAAAGGATAGCAATAATGGTGGCACAACATGAAAAATGTCATCAATGTCTCTGAGCTGTAAATGGGGAACTTTTTACGCTGGTGAATGTCTTCTTGTGTATGTTTTCACCAAAATAAAAGTTGAAAAAAAAAAAAAAGAGCCAAGAGGTGAGGGTGTTCTACACAGTCCTGACGAGCTAGGCCGGCGCTCTACACCACAGGGTGGTGCTACTCCTTGCCGCAGCCGCCCAGATCCCACGGCATCCACACCCTGCTGCGGAGCGCTTGTTCACAGGCTGCACGACTCATGGTCGCAAACACAGGTGGCAAGACCAAACATGAAAAGTGAGCAACCAGACAAAATCACAGACGCACACGGCACTGATTGGCGTGGGCGGGTCCGCGTGCTCGTCAGGCCTCTGTGTTCAGCGCCTTAGCTAAGCTCACGGCCGTGAGGGCCAGCACGCCTCCTTCCTGTGGGCAGCGGGCACTCAGGACATGGTGGGGGGTGGGGGAGACACAACGGGACAGGGACGTGCCGTGCGCACCCGGCACCTGCATGCACTTTGACGGCCCCACCTGCTGCACCAGGAGGTCCCCGATTCTCTGGATGATGTAATTGCGGTCACTGCCCTCCTCCAGAGACTCCTGGCGGCGCTCCTTCAGCCGGGCAAGGAAGTGGCTGTGCAGGCCCAGCAGGTCGTCTGCGCAGGGGAAGAGGCGGCTGACGGCCTGGCTGCTGAACTGCAGCTCCTCACGCAGGGCCCGGGAGTACACCCTCAGCATGATCTTGAGCGTGCGCACGTGGTGCACCTCCGTCTGCATCAGCTCTGTGGGGACGCGAGGGAGAACTCACACGGAGGTGGATACCTGGCACTCGGCCCACGCACACAAGGCGCCACCTAGGAGCACCCTCCCTCGGGGTGCCAGGGCCTTCCATCCTCCTAGATCCTAGCCTAAGGGGCAGGAGGGGGAGTGACAGAGGGAAGAAGAGGACCAAGGAAGTGCACTGGGGCCTCTAAAACCTAGTTATGTGAAGCAGTCTGGCTGCTTTTAAGCAGAAGGTGTTTGGGGAACTGTTCTCTGCCTGCCAGACTCCCCCATTAACGTGCTCATGTCACACACAGCCTAGACCAGATACAGGGAAGAGCAGAGATCAAGGCAGGGTTATAACTCACTGTCGGAGATAGAAAGGCTGTATTTTGTGCTTGAGTTTGTCTGTCGTCAAGGTCAGGGTTAAGGACTGCAGCAGAGGGGGCCAGCACCACAGAAAGCGCCCGTGTGTGCCTGTGTGACAGTGTGGGGAGCAGCTCGCCAGGTCTTGTCTCCTATGAAGCCACTGGGTGGGTTTGAATTGCCAACCTTTTGGTTAGCAACCAAGCACTGAAGCATTGTACTGCAAGGGCTCCGTGCTGATAAAACTAGCTACACACAAAACCCCACCATAAGCAATGTTGAATATCAAAAGACAAACTGCAAAAAATACTTGTAATTTATATCGCAGACAAAAGGCTGACTGCTCCAATTCATGAAGAAGCCTCAAATATGATTAAGAACAAAATTACTTCACCAAGGAGGATATTCAAGCGGCCAACAAACACATGAAGAAATGCTCACGATCATTAGCTATTAGAGAGATGCAAATCAAAACAACAATGAGATACCATCTTGCTCCAGCACTAGTAGCAAAGTTC